TTCATGGATTATGAGTGAACGTAGTAGAGTAATAGCGGTAAAACATCGAAAGCTTAATTTTCAAAGTTCGCGATTCGGGAAGATTACGTTTCCAGTTAATCAATTTATGAGGTGATCGATTCGTAGACACCACGCGAGTGTATTTGCTACGTTTATTCTACCTCCATGTTACAAAAATATGTACAACAAGATTACTACATGTCATTTCTTTTAGTGTTTAAAATCATTCGTGCATAAACTCTGATAGTATTTTTTTTATTATCTTTTGTGTGTCGGACGATTAATTGTAGTTGGGTACAGGGGTAAGTACTCCAAAATACAATATATGTATATAGGAATTAAGCAGCACAATACAGCGCAAATCTATTTTTAAACACTTCTCTACGTGTGATTCTTGAAATGTGTCGAGATTTGTGTGAAATACTTTTCACATTCAATAACTGTTCTTTATGTGTAACAGTACTGGTTCCTCTACCGCAGACACATCAACAGATTATAAATAACATTGTCTTTGAAACAAACTTATGTAGTTGCTCGTAACACATTCAAAAAACCGACAGCAGTCTTAATAACCTGTTATCGTTAAAAAAATTCAGTTACTGCTTACGGATAGAAAAATCATTATGATACTTACATTGGCAAAGGTGTTGATAGTTAATTCCACCATCTTCCCGGCTGTTAATGATGCCGTGGAATTGGACATCGCTATTATCATAACGCAGCAGAGTTTCTTCTTTCCTGGCAATCGATACCATTCGATCATGTATGACATCTCACCGATTTTCCTGCACTGTCATGCTTTTCTTAATGTCCACATATTTTTTAATGGTACATCATCCTACAATTCTGAACTTTATAGGAAACTTACGTTCTCGGTCACTATTTCGCCTATGTAGCAAAATATGAAAATGTTGAACGTCAGCGATATGAGTAAGCTGACATAAGTTATGGCAGTTTTTAAGTCATTGATTTCCTGTAATATTAAATATCATAACATTAAGAAGTTTGAATGTACATTATACTCAATCCACAAAAGTCCTACCATGATTACGTAATATCCAACGAGACATATATCCAATGTGCAGCCCAAAAATTCGGCGAAAGACATTTGTCGCAGCGTTTGTTCTGTGAGCGTTAAAAATCTGAAA